TTAATGAAAGGGCTTTTAATTCTAGCGGTATTATGTATTGTCTTTCTTTTTTCTTTTTGAGGTCGAGGATTCAATTCCCGTCCGGACGTAGCTTGTATTAGGAGTAGTTTAGGACATGTTAAATTTTGTTGTTCCAAAAAAAAAACCATAAACGGCATTCGTCTAGTTTCTATAAAATTAAGGAACAAAACAATCATACGTTCATAAAATGCCAACCGATCTCTGCTAAAAAAACCTAGTCGACATACCAGTGTACCGCCGTTCTACTCATGGAGGATACACCGGCCACCTCAATTATGTTCAAGTTTTTTGTTCAGTTAATTTAGGGTGCTACTTTTTACACAGTGATTTAATTGTCGACGCTTTCTTTGTCGCCCACGATATCTCTAATTTTGTCGCATTATAAAATTATTAGTAATATCATGAAATAAGAATTAATGCTTCAAAAGTTTAGTTTGTCGATCGAGGTAGAAGTCGTGTGTTTGTTAATTTATTATTTGTAAACTTGATTCCCAGTTTACGTTTAACTATGGATTTTTTTTTGAATATTCAGTTATTTTTTCAAAGACTAAAAAAAGAACATGTTATGTGTGAATATTAGATAGTTCTAAAAATGAAATATCTTAACAAGTTGATTATTCATAAATTATGATTATCATTATTTAATGTTGATTATGAATTTTTGAGGATAAAATTAGTAAGGTATCCTATTTTTTTCTTAAAACCCTATATCATATCAATTATAGTTACGATAAAAACTTAACTTTCAATACCATATCAATGATATCCGATACTAACTTATTTTGCTTCACATTATAAGCATCACCACCGCCACCGGGTTAGAAAGTTTTCCAAAGTGAGTTGAAGTTCCGGTCGTCTCTTGTGTTAGTAAATCATTTTAGCGTCATGTGCCTTAACCTTGTATTAGTAATTTATTTTAGCGTCATTATACATTTTGAAACATGATGTACAACTAGGAAATGCATGTCTCTTTCAAACCGTATAGGTAGAGTAAAAAAAGGAAATTTTTTTTTGGAAACGGCAAATATATTAAAAAAGGAAAAAAGAAAAACAAGCACTCGCAAGCAAGAAGCTAAAACGATGCAGGAATACAAGTACAAGTAGAAAAGTAAAGATAATAAGTATTAGACAAAGAAACATGACTACGAAAAAAAGTGAGAGAAAGGTGAAATACACCAATCGGTCCACACTCCGCATCCACAATTGCTTCTATACTTATACCAGACATAGGATGATGAAAGAATGTTGTCCGCAGTTTTTGTCGGTGGTGCAACAATTTTCTTAAAAATTTTGTCATTCCTGGCCAACCAAATATTCCACAGAAGACAATAGAACACCAAGTTTAAAATCTCTTTTTTTCTATGGCAGTTTCCCCAAATAACTGCATAATCAATGAATTCTTTAACATTCAAGAATCTTCTCCTTTGTATTCCACGCCATTTAAGGATCCAATCTTGTACCTCCCGAGTATAATCACAAGTAATGAGCAGATGATCTGTTGATTCATTCTCCTTGTTGCATAAAGGGCAAGTAATATTTGTAGTGTTAACACCCCTGACCATCAAAGCATGAGCCACAGGGATTCTAGCCAATGAAGCTCTCCAAATAAAGCATCTTACTTTCAAAGGTATCAGTTTTGACTAACAGATGTATAGACCTTTATACATAATCAATTTAGATTCCAACAACCTCCTCATGACATTGACGGTGTATTCCCCATTAGGGTTCAGAGTGAATTCAAAACCATATTTGGAAGATTTCACAACTGTCAACATTCCAATATCCTTATACAATTGTAGAAGTTCATTAGTCTCGATATTACCCATCGGCTCAAACTTCGACATCCATGAGAAGCCATTGCTAGATAGTCGGTCCTCCATAGCACAACATTTTACTGTTTCTAACGAGTACAAATTAAGGATTTTTTTTGAAAAGAAATATCGCCACACCAACTGTCTTTCCATAACAGAATTTTGACACCAGAACCTGGAATAAGCTTAAATATCTCGTTCACATCAATATTTAGGTTCGAGATGGATTTTACAGCCTTGGAGATGTTGCACCAGACGCCATTTGTGGATTTCCTTGCAATATAAGAGGCTGGTTTATTATGCAAATTGTGAATGCTATCAATAACCATCTTCCACAAACTGTCTTTTTCATTCATCATCCTCCACCACCATTTGACTAGGAGAGCTGTATTTTGTGCAAGTAAGGATCTGATTCCAAGACCTCCGTCAGAAATTGGTGCGATGACTTTTGACCATTCCACCCAATGAATGTTCTTTTTGGGTTCACCACAGTTCCCCCAAAGAAATCTGCGTCTGATCATTTCAATCTTATTAATGATCCCTTGGGGAGCTTTGAATAAAGACATGTAGTAGGTCGGAAGGGAACCAATGACAAATTTGATGAGAGTGAGACGACCACCAAACGATAAAGATTTTGCTTTCCAAACTGATAATTTGGAGCTAAATTTATCAATAATCGACTTCCAGTTCTTTTTCAATGCCATATTAGCTCTAACGGGGACACGCAAATAATTGAAAGTGAAAGAACCCTCCAAGCAGCCAAGAATACGTGCAGTTGTGTGTAATTCAGCATTAGAAACTCCAACTCCGAATATACGAGATTTGTAAAAGTTCACCTTTAGACCAGATGATATGTGAAAGCAATTAAGGATACAGGACAAATTCCTGATGCTAACACAATCCCATTCCCCAACGAAAATCACGTCATCAGCATAAAATAGATGTGAAATAGAAAGACCCCCTCTCGGTAGTTGGACCCCATGAACAAGAGACTTCTCATAGGCACTCTTGATTGCGATGTTCAGACCTTCCATTGCTAAAATGAAGAGAAACGGTGATAGCGAGTCTCCTTGTCGTACTCCTTTGGATATAGGAAATTCATCGGTGGGCTATCCGTTAACAAGGACCGATGCTCTTGAAGAGGACAGACAACACATGATCCAACGTCTCCATTTACATCCGAAGTGCATTTGTTCCATTATAGAGTCCAAATATCCCCAATTAATGGAATCAAACGCTTTTTCAAAATCGACTTTGAGCAGGAAGATCTTTTTCTTTTGATGCTTGGCCCACGAGAAAATTTCGTTCATCACCAGTGGGCCATCGAGGATGTTCCTGTCATGAATATATGTTGATTGGGTCTCATCCACCACTGATCCAATTACCACCTTTAATCTGATTTCTAAGAGCTTAGCAACCACCTTATACATGCAACCGATGAGACTAATGGGACGATAGTCAACAAACAAGATCGGGTCAGGTACTTTTGGAATGAGGATGATGAAAGAGGAATTACAACCAAATGCAAGAGATCTGGTTGATTCAAAATATTTGACAAAGTTAATTATATCTCCTTTTAATATATCCCACTTTGCTTTTATAAGCTTGAAAGTAAGTCCATCAGGACCAGGTGCTTTCTCCCCACCACAGCTCCATACAGCAGTTTTTATCTCATCTTCTGTGAAACCCGATTCCAAGAATAAGGACTGATTTGGTGAGAGTTGTTTGAATTTGGAGTTGATGAATTTTGGTCTGTTGGGCCATTGTTCATGGAATTTTTCTGCATAAAATTTATAGACTTCAAGATTTATATCTCTAGGGTCAGACTTCCAAACACCATTAATAGTGAGCCCGTGGATTTTGTATTTCCGGTTTTTGTGCTTCAGAGTGCCATGAAAGAACCGTGAATTCTCGTCTCCATCCGAGACCCATTTGATTTTAGCCTTCTGTTGTAGATCAAGTTTTGCAAATCGCTCAAGTTCAATAATTTTAAGCTTATCATCCCGCATTAATATCCTTTCCGAGTCATTAAGCACTCGAGATTCAACAATTATTCCCAAATTTTCCACCTTATTCTTGAGTTGTAACAGTGCCTCATGTTCCTTGTTCACTTTCGCTTTCCTCCACTCCCGAATAGTGTTTTTAATAAATCTAATCTTTGCTGCAAGGAATCTATCGGGTGCACCAAAACCTTGAAAGGAAACCCAAGCATTACAGAATGTTTCATTGAAGTCATCTCTCAGGAGCCAAGAATTGAAGAATCGAAATGGCGGAGGACCGAAGTCAGAAATGGATGGTTTTAATATAAGGGGAGAATGATATGAGTGTTCTCTGGGAAGTGCAATAACAGAGGAAATCGGTTGAGTGTTGATGAAATTTGAGCACACAAGGAATCGGTCGATTTTGCTATACTTATGCCCATCGTCTCTAAGATATGTAAATTTCATTCCACCCATATTAAATTCATGTAAGCCGGCCACAACGATAAAGTGATTGAAATCCGTTGCAGTTGTTTTGCAAAAAGAAGAATTGAACCTATCTTGAGGGAATCTGATTGCATTAAAGTCACCAAGAAAGACCCAGTTTCCAGCAATCCCATTTTTCAGAACAACAAGGTCAGACCACAATGCTCTTTTATCCGTAACAGATTGAGGACCATAAACGTTCACTAAAGTGGTTACACCTGGGAATCCTTTCTAATGCCCAGAAATTGCAATATAGTGTCTGATGGTGGTGATGTTTGTCGTTGAAAAAATTAAAGGGTTCCAGACACACATTAGTCCACCGGATCTGCCAGTAGGATTTACAACAGAAAAACCAAAATCGAGTGATCCCCAACAACCTGCAACATCTATACGGTTGAAGTCTGTAACTCTAGTCTCCTGTATTCCAATGAAGTCGATATTATGAACCTGTTTAAGTTTTCTGATCCAATCGACTTTGTGGGATTCTCCCACACCCCTGATGTTAAGGCTTAGAGCGTTCATTGAGAACCGAATATAACTCCATCACCAACAATAACCATGGATTTCTTTCCATCCTATATTTCAACATTCTCTTCACTAATTTGAAAACCCACATCATTCCCGATTTTAATGAGACTATCAATCTCATTTGAGGAAGAGCAGTCATGGGAATCAAGAGAGCTAGGATTGTGAGCAGAGATGTTTAAATCGATGATTGGGTTCCGAGCATTAACCGAAATCGAAAAATGAGGAAGAGAAGGCAGCGGAGCTGAGCTGAGAAGACTGGATCAGTGAATTCATTTACTAATCTTCGAGGAGTCAGCGAAAAGGCGAGATTACTTCTGTGAATATCATCTAATTTTCTTTTTTTGGAATGTGATCCCCCAAAGTCAGAGCCAGATATACCAACATCCGTAACCGTATGTATTATTGGTGGGCCAGAAGGAGTGTGGGCTGCATTTTTAAAGTTAAGCCTGATAGAGGGCATGGGGCGAGATTCAAGATCCGATTTTACACCCGCTACTGTGCCGTCACCAACATTATTATCCTTATTGGGATTTGCATCATTAGTTTTCACGTGCTCTATAGGCGGCTTTCCAAGTTCCGAATTAATTGCAGTAGTTGGAGTTCCAGCAGTTACCTTCATCTTCTTCGATGTCGCCGGCGATAGTGAAGGTTCATGATCATCGGCGCCTTCTGGAACGTTATTCTCCACATATTCCATAACTATTTCGCCTTCTTCTACATCGTGTTGATCGCCAATGTTGTTTTCCCAAGTTTCTGATATACCCTCGTCTTCAGTATCAGACAACTCCAAATCACCTTCTTCAACGTCTCTGTACTTCTCAGAATCGTGATTGGAAGTTTCGGAGTCGGATTCGTAATATTTGGAGAACGACTTCCATATATCCTCGCATTCGACCACACCCACAGAGTGTATTCTTCCATTGAAGGAGCAGTTAACTTCTTCATTGATTAATTTTCTGGTTGATGTAAGAATTCTTGCATACGAAGAAGATAAGTCAATGTTGCACCAGTTTTGACATCCATCCACTTCAATGACCTTACCAAAATTACTAACAATCAGACTTGCATTCTCTTCTGATCTTAGGTGAATTGGAAGCCCGATAATTTTGACCCAGGCAACCCTTTCAAATTGCACGTCCTCCATAATACCCAACTTGAGCCACTTGAACCATCTGTTCCAAGAGTGTTTGCTGTTCAAGTAACCTTCCGCCTTACTTCCCGATGAGAATTTTAGGATGGCCTTTAGACCGCCTGCATAGAACACGTAACAAGGAATGTTCCCGTCGGCGTTAATCAGTTTCAGAAGATTACTGAGAAGTTGAAAGCAGTTGACCTCCCCCATAAGTGTCGATTGAATTTCCATCACCGCTACACGATTGAGTATAATAGCCTTGGTCAGAATCGATGAAGAGGATTTTGTTGCATCACGTCTCCCGGTAACTGCATCAGCAAAAGATCTGCCATCATACTTTTTGTTCCATCCGCCAGCAGGCTTTTTATTTGAGGGAGGTACATCCCTACTGATCGGTTTTCTCGTCAACTTAGGGTTGGGTTTCTTCTCGTATTTGGCAACATTGACCTTTGTAATATAATGGCCACATCTAACTTGATTTAGAGATGACAGCATTGCTGGAATGTTTTTGACACCTTCATACTTAATGAAAGCAAAGTGATCCATAATCCCTATTTTCAAAGTGATCATGGAATAATGCGTCTCCAGTTTTCATGTATATTCTTTGATTTCTTCAAGAATTTATGACTAACTAATTGATTTTAACATTTCACACACCACACACTGTTCCCGAGTTCAACTTAACGAGAGCAAAGAAAGAAAATGAATGGAAACGAGAAAAAAAAAAAAAAAAATTGGTGTTCCTGAGTTTCATTCAAGAATTTATGACTAACTAATTGATTTTAACATTTCGCACACCACACACTGTCCCCGAGTTCAACTTAACGAGAGCAAAAAAAGAAAATGAATGGAAATGAGAAAAAAGTAAAAAAAAAATTTGGTGTTTCCGAGTTTCATTAAAGTAAGTAAGTGAAAGGAAATTAAATGATCATTTTTCTCATAACTTTTCTTCCAATTTGGAATGATTTGGAAAAAAAGAACAAAATGATTAATTTTCTTCCACTTCAACACAAAAGAAAATTTTCATTTCCTTTCCTTTCTCTTCTTTTATCTTCTTACTTTCTTTTCTCTTTTCTTCTTTTCTTTGCTTAAACTTGGAAACTATGCTTTAAATCAATCATAAATTATTGGTTCTTTTTAGAAATAAAATTTTAATCGAAGAATTTTAGACAATCTGGTCATGGGAATGCTAAACCACGAAGAATGAGATCATCCGCTAATTATAAGCCAACACTTAACTCCATATTTCCATGGAGGTAATGATTGTTGAAGATATCAGCTTTTTTGATGAACCAACGACTGTCGGCCCCGTTCCTGTTAGAGCCTTTCTTGCAAGTTTAGGTAAAAAATAGTCCCTCAATTATAGTCATGGGTTTTGTTTTAGTCTATTTTCTTTAATTTTTGTTTCTGTAAATACTACAAGCTAGACCAACATCGGCGATCCCATCACTCATCTCACTCTCATTCGGGTAAGTTTCATCTTTGGTACCGCCAATTAAGAATGTGATGGTTATGGGTTTAAATTTTGAAATCTCAAATTTGCAGCTCTTTCTCCATTCTCACAGATTTCCTATTATTTCGGTAATAATATATTACAAGTCACAAGTGTATGGAAGATTAGGTGGATCTGATAAACTCATCAATGTAAAGAACTACTCTGGTATTAAAGGGAAGGACGACAGAGTTGTTACCACTGCCTCATAATCATATATGTACACAATACTTATTAAACATGTTAAGATCCGAATTTTTTTTTTGTATTTTTGGTAGGAAAAGGGCAAAATTGTAAGTTTTGCAGTCTAATATTTTAATTCATACATCGATTCATTATTTAACACAAAAATTATACAAACTACAAAATTTAATACAATCCATTCATAATTTAGTATACAAAATTCACAATTTAATACAATCATAATATCACTAATTCACTAATTTAAGAAAGTCAAACCCAAACTCTACCACCACCACCAACTACCACATATCAGCACCATCCATCTATGTCAACGTCGTAACCATCATTTCTTTCAAACCAAATCTGTATATAAAATCAAGCATTGTTAGTTTAATACTATATTCATAGTTTAATAAACATATTAATTCACTAATTTAGAGTTTAATACAACAATTATAAAAACTAATACATTCTTACATATTTACTTCATAAAAATACTCACAAGATTAATACAAATATTTATATTTTAACATAAAATTCATAAAAAAAAATCACAATTTAATACAATCAATTCACAGCTTAATACAGTCAATACACAAAATTAACAGCTTAATGTATTAAATTCACAGTTTAATACACAAAAACTATATATTCACAACCATATTCTGTATTAGTAGTTATATTTATACCTTCAGATATGTGGACTAGTTTTTTCTTTCAAATTTTAATTTATATAATATTCACAATTTAAATTTTACATGTTATTAAAAATTAGAGAAAATAAAATCTAGATATAATGCTTCTTTCATCTTATATTTTAGAAGCAAAAATAAAATCCGTAAAAAAAATTAACAACTTAATATACTCATTTCACAACTTAATGCATTTAATTCATAATTTAATACATAAATTCACAGTTTAATAAAATATATTTACAGGTTAAAAATTACAACTGATGATGTTTGGAGCTTGGAGGTTATATTAGATTATAGTTCACACACTCATCACAATTCACAACTTAAAAACCCTAAATTCACATTATTTGAGAAAACACTAATATAATAAAAACACGTTTAAATTCACATTAACACTTATAAAAATTCATACATATACTGCTTAAACTTATAAAAATTTCATTTAATCACAACTAAAACTTATGAAAAAGATCATACATTCACAAATTAATACTTACAAAAAATCATGTATTCACAACTTAATACTTATAAAAAAATCATGCATTTATACCTTAAATTTTTTTCTAATTGAAACAATCAGATATGTATAAAATCCATACAATAACAACTTAATAACTATAAAAAAACGTTTATTCACAGCATAAGAAACTAGTTTAGAAACTTATTCATATTATTCAATGTTTAAAAACATACCTTGTTTTTGGTGAAGCATTTCATCAAACACCTTCAATGCATCTTATATCCAGATCTGAGATTGTTCCATTGCTTCAGATCCATGAGCACTGATGGTAGGCAGCAACAACGGTGGTGGACGTCGGTTGTTGTAGAGGTGGAGTCACATCGACGGTGGTAACATCAGATATGGATGTCAGATCTGTTGGCGGTGATTCCCGTCAGATCTATTATTCCGGCGAATCAAATCGGAGAAGTTTTCTTGTATTCCATCAGATCTGGAGACGAACTAGATCTGGACTTTAGAGTAGAGTGTGACGTTTTTCGGTGTTCCAACGAAGCACAATAGCTGATGTTAGGTGGTGGTCGGTGGTGATAAGGTCGACTATCAGATCTAACCAAATTGCACCAGATCTGATATGTTTTATGTTTTACAGAGAGAAAGTGAAGCTGAAACAACTTTTTGACTTCAGATCTGAAACCAAATGGCCATCGACATCGATGGAGGAAGGCGGTGGTTATCACCGCTCGTCGGAGCTCATAATTCAGAGGAGAAAATCGAAGATCTGAAGTCGAAAATAGTATATCTGAAGACGAAAATTGTAGATCTGAATAGAGAAATTATATATCTGAAGCTGAAATTGTAGATTTGAAGAGGAAAATCGTAGATCTGAAGTTGAAATTGTAGATCTGGAGCCAACCGGAACTTGTGGATCTGATGGCGGTGGTTCGTCGACGGTAGGAGGCGGCAGCGGTTCGCCGACGGTAGGAGGCGGTGGCAGTCAAGGATGGTGGCTGGTGGCTAACGGGTGGTAATGTTTTTATGTTCTTCAAATTTAAGATGAGAGAGAAAATAACCATGTAAGAATGTATGTAGTGCGTAGATCTGGTTATAAAATGGGGTTCTTACGGTTCTTAATTTTTAGTGGTTCTCATTTGAACCTTTACCTATAGTCCTATATATATATATATATATATATATATAATATTATATATATATATATATATATATATATATTATATATATATATATATATATTATATATGGAAAAAAACGCTTATATACATTTTTTTTGGGGGGGGGGGGTATTTCAAAATTTAGTCACAAAAACACGAAATTCCGGCTATAGACATGCATTCCGCGGAGCACCCTCTACGGGGGCTCCGCGGACAGACAAAAGCTCTGAGGAATGGGGGTATTTTCATAATTTCCCCTCCCCTCTTTGTAAAAAACAAGTTTCCTCTTTTGTCCCCCCACTGGTCCCCCTATGTTTCCTCTTCGACTTCCATTCCTTGTTCGTGTCTCCGCGTGTAGGGTCGAAATTTGTTGTAATCAGTCGAAGTCTGTTTAATTGTTCTCTTCGTATGTTTTGTTATGTATTTGCTAAGGTGTCTCATGTTCGAAGCTTAACGTTTAAGCCTTAGTATTTTTTGTATGCTTTCACGTCTCCTATAAATAGGGACATTACTTAGAGTTATATAAAGGTCTGAGTACAACTTGTCTACTTTCACTCTGTAATAATTGGAAGCATAATACGAGCTGAAAACCAGATTATATTTACTCTTTGTGTTCATTTGATCATTACTCTGATATATTCTCGATTCATCACTTCTTCAATTGGTATCAGAGCAGGAATCATAATCTGCGATCTGATTTTCACTCTGATTCAAAAGGTTTTTGAATCAAATTCTGGTTCAAAAAGTTTCCGCACCTTTTGAAGTGAAAAGTGTTCTTGATCTTCAGTTGTGATTCGATTCTGCAACTGATTTGTTGAATCGAGTGTTCTACTTGATTTTTCTGTTCAATTCAGCAATTTGCTTTCAAATTCTCTTTGATTTCTCAGAAAATTTAATACGTACGTCAATGGCGAACTTCAACTTAAACTCAATGACTTCATACTCTCATCTACTAGGATCTTCAACTAAGATTCCTATGCTCATTCCGGAATACTATGATATGTGGTCTGATCGTATGCAAGACTACTTGAATGGACTCGATGAAGAGCTTTGGTCATGCATCTCAGGGAATGTTACTCTTCCGACAAATCTTCAATCGATTGGATCTTCATCTGGTACTACGAGTGTTGATGCTCAAACTGATCGAATGAAGAAACTTGAAAAATGATGTATAAGGGAGTTACGTGGTGCATTGCCTCCGGTTGTGTATAACTATGTCAGAAGTTGTACAACCGCAAAAGAAATCTGGAATAATCTCAAATAAAAATTTCAAGGAAACGAGAAGACAAAAATTAATTCGGTTAAGCATTGTTTGATTGAATTAAAAGATTTCAAGCAAAAAGATGGTGAGTCAATTGAAGGTTACTATGATAGGCTGAATGAGTTGATCTATAAATGTCATCACCATGGCATTACAAGGACAACAATGGAATTCAATTTGACGTTCATCATGGGTCTACGAAAGGAATGGAGGAATGTTACTTTAATGGTGAAGA